TCTGTAAACCGCTTAGAGAGGCCTGAAAGGCCTATGAAGCGGTATATAAGTCTAACTGCTATTGCTATTGCTATTGCTATTGCAGGCCTAAGCATTACTTTGCTTCTTCGTGTCTCGGTGTTGTTTATTTTTAATTTTAGCAGATCTGATTTTGCATTCCTTCAAATAGTTCTGCTAAATAAACCTCCTGACCTTTTTGGTTCATAACTGGAATCTTTTAAGTCCCTCCAGTTTTCATCTACTTCAAACGGATGAGTGATTGTGCCAACATGCTTTAATGTCCTATTTTTCTGGTACTTTGGGTTCTGCTCACCTGATAGAGGAATTAACCATTTACTTATGCAAAGGTTTCCCCTGGGGCCAGCAGCCAGAGGGGTATCCGTTGAAACCATGTGCCAAACAGAAGGCTCTATCCCTCCTCGGTGTGTGGAATTAAAGGTTTCCCTTTAAAAACGTGCTTGAACTGTAAACTCTTCCTCCCAGATTTATGAACCACATGAAGCATCATTTGGAGCTCGAGAAGCAGAACAGTGAGAGCTGGGAGAGCCACACCACCTGCCAGCACTGCTACCGTCAGTTTCCTACCCCCTTTCAGCTGCAGTGCCACATCGAAAGCACCCACACGCCTCACGAGTCCTCCAGTGAGTTCTTCTGGGTGGGAGGGGCGGCGGGGAGGGGTGCGAGACAGTCCACAGACAAGGACCTTGGTAGACTTTGGGTTCAGAGGCTGAACCGAATCCGGAAGTTCTCAGCTGTCTGCCCATTGATGGAGAAAACAATAATATCAACTTCACCCCCAGACTTAACTAAAAAGTAAATACAGCTTCTGATGTGGATACGACAGTTCAAGTAATTAAAATAGTTAACCTGTCATATCTATGCCATAAATAATATTCATTAGTTTGCTTTCACTTAGAAGCAAAATTACAGATAGTAATTTGACTTATGGACACAATTGGGACCCGAATCTGGACTTCCCAGGGCCTCCCACCTATCAGAGGCTGCCCACCTCTTTGCTCATCTAACTGCACACTTCTCCACTGCCTCCAGTCTCTGGGCCCTGCTGAAGGAATTCGGCTGTCCTCCATGCGTGGAAGGGAGCCCCTTCAGTGGGATGCAGGAACTGCAAAGAGGTTGCCAAGCACTCCAACTGCCCTCCTGGGACCAGTGGGGCCACATGGGCTATAAGGCACCCTTTCAGAGTCCTCGCAGAATCACAGACGCCAGTATGATGTCACTCCTGTGTTCTGGTTTTTTTAAAAGTTCAGTTGATGCCTATTTTCTCTTTTAGCTATTTGCAAAATCTGTGAACTCTCTTTTGAAACTGAGCAAGTTCTGTTGCAGCACATGAAAGACAATCACAAGCCTGGGGAAATGCCTTATGTCTGCCAGGTACTCCCAACCCCCCCCCTTCCCCCCCTCCCTTGTACATATGGTTAACTATGTTTCCTTGTTCCTAAGAAGAGCCGTTAGAAGTAAATATTCCCCCCTCCCTCTTTATATTGATGTTTAGGTTTGCAATTACAGATCATCAGCATTTTCAGATGTGGAGAAACACTTCAGATCCATTCATGAAAACACAAAGAACCTGCTTTGCCCATTT